AGGGGCAATGGGCACAAACTGAAGCAGAGGAAGCTCCAGCTGAACATGAGGAAGAACTTCTTCCCTCTGAGGGTGATGGAGCCCTGGCCCAGGCTGCCCAGGGAGGCTGTGGAGTCTCCTTCTCTGGAGATATTCCAGCCCTGCCTGGACGCGGTGCTGTGCAGCCTGCTCTGGGTGACCCTGCTTGGGCAGGGGGTTGGGCTGGGTGACCCACAGAGGTCGCTTCCAACCCCTGCCATGCTGGGATTCTGTGATGCATAGGCCAGTCGTACCTACGGACTGAAGGCTTTACATGGGGCAGATTATTGCATTTCACTCCACCGCAGGTTTGTTTGCATCCCTCCTTTAAGAAGCAGGTACCTGCTGCTAACGGGAGCAGGATGCCAGCCGACGCAGATTGACGCCTCGCTGCAAAGCTGTAGGAGAGGCCCCAAGAGCCTGTTGTAAGCAGCGTGTTGCAAACAGCAAGCTGAGGACTGGAGGTGGGGGCAGGCAGACAGCGTGTTACACCTCCTGCTTCCGATTTTGCCCAAACAATTGGAGTTGTACAACCCAGTTCTGAGGAGGGTTTGGAGGCTGTGTATTTCCTAAGAGTTGGTAATAGGAAGAAGTCCTGAAACCACGGAAATTTTTGTCACAGTCTGCCTGCCACTGAAGTATTTTCTCTCTCCTCTTGTTAAGGGATGCATTTACGTACGTTCAAGAAAGACGATTCTGTATTAATCCTAATGCTGGATTTGTCCATCAACTTCAGGTGACTTTTTTTCTTCTTTTTTTCTGGTTATAACTCGAAAGTGATTTGATGAATTGGCTTCCTGCAAAACAGCTGTTTCTACTTTGCCTTAACATTTACTGTGTAAGCATGCTTCAGGTGAATGTCAGAAGCCATAGCAGAGCTTGGGAGGAAGAAGAGTGGCCACCCTAGCTCGTTAGAATTGAGCTTTAGACAAGCGAATCTGGGAATGGAGGAGAAATAAACCCCCTGTTTTGTGCAGTAAGAGGCTCTGGAACAGCTTAGCTGGTGGCTAAGGAAACTGCCAAGTGAGTGCTGCAGCACACGTCGGTGATGCTTCTTGCTTGCGTTCGTAGGGGACGACATTCACCAGTCTGCCTGAAGTCTCCTGACCAAACTGCGGGAGCCTGTTGGGTGAATGGTGGGCAGACGTCAGGAACGTGCGTTGAAACGCTCTCGCAGCATCTCTGCGATTACTTAGGTGGCTGGCAGCAAGATGGCTGAATAGCTCCTCCGTTTGGTTTTCTCGTTTGTGTGTGGTCTTTTGTGTTTTTGTGTTTGTTTTTTTTTAATTAAAAGTAGCTCCTGTGAGGAGTCGCTGTGTAGCACTGAGCATGACAGGTCACTAGAACGCAGCTTCAAGGCCGCGTGTGGTTTGTCCTTGTCACAGATCTCTGAAGCTGCTGTATCCTCGGTGTGGGTTGTCTGAACAGCCTTCTGGAAACAAGGAGTTCTCTGAACAGCCTCACAGAATTTTTTTTTTTAAGGAAAGTTTACTCTTTCTTAAAGCCATTTCTTGCCTTCCTTTAAGTTTCCTTTTGCTCTGTCTTCCTGACAGTTTTGTCGTTCACGCCACAGCAACAGAGCGCACTCCTCCTCCAAAAGCTCTGCCTGACTAGAAGATACTCTCTAGCCCGTCCTAGTGAGCTCCCTGAATTAGTCCTCCTCATCCTTACAAAGCGTTATGCCAAGTTAATAGCAACATGTATTATTAAACTTTTTTCAGGAATATGAAGCCATCTATCTAGCAAAATTAACCATCCAGATGATGTCACCACTGCAGCTGGAGAGATCCCTCTCAGTTCCACCTGGCACTACAGGTCAGAAGCCTCTCCTGCCGTGGGTGATGCCGCCCTTCTTACCTGCCCTTGCGAGGTGACTTTCGCACTCCCTGAGCAAACCCCCAGCAGCAGTGGGTCTCAGACGCTTGGGAAGCAGGCGGCTGCAGCTGGTGTGCAGGCTATGTCCAAACTTCAGAATGCAGCACTTGAATATTCTGGTGTCCTATGGTTGAACTTCCCTGTGGAAGCTCTGGGCTTCCAGGATGTACTGGAGAAGGGCCCTGCCCCTCCCCGTCCTACAAAAACCCCGAGTTCCTTAGGGGAATCGAGTGTCAGGCTGAGAGCAGCCAGTGTTCACGGCACAATTGCTGCCCTTAAAATTAAGGCAGTTGCTCTGAAAAAATGTTATGCTGTGCCCTTAAACAGATAACAAGGGATGAGGGCATGTAAAAATTCTTACCTTAATCAGATCGAGGTGTGCAGGTAGCAACCCCTGTAAAGATCAGTGAAAATGGATCTGGGGGGAGGTGTAAAGAGAGTGCAGAAAATGGTGGGCTCAAGGCAAGTTCTCTTCTGTGGAGAAGCGCAAGGGAAGAAGAGTGCTGTCAGCAGCTGGCTGTCCAGGAGCTGGAGGTCTTCAAAGGGTGGGCTCCCTGCAGGAAGGTGACCACAGCTGCCCTGCTCGCGGCTGGCTGGTGTTAGAGCTGGTCCGTTCGGGTGCATCCTCCTTCCTCCTTCTTCTTGCCTTTTGCAGGAAGTTTAAAGCGAATGCATGAAGAGGACGAAGAACTCGGAACCATGCAAGTGGCAGCGGCACAGAACGGATGATCTCCGGGGACGGCACTGTTTGTATTGTGAATTCCTGCCGAGAAAGGTGAAGACGGCTAGGGAAAAAGGATCAGTAACGCAAAAGGATGAACGCGCCCAGAGCTTCTTTTCAATTACACGTTGCTTTCGGATGTAAATCTGCCTCTGCAACACACTAAGCATCATTTTTAAGATGTTGGACTTCTTGAATGAATAGATGGCACTGATTGTTTTACTCCTTTTTTACACTTTACAGTTTTATTCTAAACCAAGATTTTTGGACTTGCAAAGAGGTATTATTGCAATAATGCACTTTTCATACTTGAAATTTCTTTATTTGTATGATATAAAGTTATTACTTTAAAGAAAATGCAAGCTGGGGGGATTTGTTTATAAAGTTATTTGTGTAATTTATAACAAGAGACTTTAGTAAAGAAAAAGTTTGCTAAAACTCACCTTGTTCTCAGTATATGTTATGGTCCTGCTTATAGAAATGTGCTTTACGAACTGCACTATGCTCTGCTGCTGGCAGCGGAGCAACAGCAGGGATCTGATCAGTATTAACTCTTTACCTCAGTGTAAAACCTCATTATATACTGAATTATTTTGAGCCTGACACTCTGAGACCAATTTAAGACAAAATAATGTTCTAAAAATCTCTACTTGTTTTATGTAAGTTAAACTTTTAACAGACTGCTGATTCATCACTTCATAAAATAGCCACGTGCTCAATTAATACAGAGGGCAGCTACCAATTTTAGACACATCAAGGCTGAATTCTTTCAGCTAGCATTAAAAAGCTGCCTGTTAAATTAGTTACAGGTGCATTTAGCAAGTTGAAGGAGCCAGTGTGGTCCATCTGCCCACTAGAATGGTGCGTATTCAGACTGGTACTTAGGGAGTGGTTCCCTTTGTAAGACAATAGTTGCATCGTTTGAGGTAAAAATGGGGTTGATGTTTGAAAGTTAAGGCCCAAAGCACTGGCCAGAATCATATCAAGACCTAAAGGATTCACCTCAGATCTTCTAAAGCCTTAGAGTCGTTAAGGCCACGCACTCCTTGGTGCTTTGAAGTTTTCAGATTGGGAATTGCCAAGGCAGTGCACACAGCTTTAACTCTTCTCCTAGCTCTCTGCCTCTGCTTTATCTGCCCATTGGCCCATCGCACAGAGGATACGAATGAAAGGATGGCTCCTTGCGAGCACTGTGGTGACTGAGCAAATTAGAAAGCTGCTAGAAGAACTTGTGTACTTGGGAAATCTGATTAGATCAGTAACTAGATGATATTTTAACAGGGAACAGGTGGGCTCGGGGGAGTTGCATCAGTATAAGAGATGTTTTGGGGTCTGCACATCCAGCTGTCTGCCTGCACTGTGCTGCCTGTGAATGGCAAATGTCCTCTGTTGGCCTCAGAATGAGCAACCTCTGTTGAGGGCAGAGATCTCTGAAGGCACGAAGCTGTTTTGTGCTGCGAGGATCTCTGCTGCTGCTGCCTTTTGCCGGAGATTCATCCGGCAGCTTGTTTGCTTTGTAGGAGTGTGGCCTTGCTTTGTGTGTTCCAGGCAAGCTGACCACGCCTGTGGCTTGCTGAACTTTGCTTAGTCCCTGAGCGGCCTTGTCCTGCAGCTCCTCAGGCGGCTTGCGGAGGGGCAAGGCTGGGCTCTTGGCCTGTGTCAGGGCTGTTCCATCTAGTTGGCAGATGCTGGTTGGAAAACTACTGCCTGGCTTAAAGCTTGCTGCTGGAACAGAAGTTGGTGCCACCTGAGGAGGAAATCCTCCTGCAGGAAGGCAGGGCTTTAGCTGTGCCAGGACACCTGGGTGAGGCTTTACAGCCCAATAACATCTCCTCTGGTGGAAGGTGAAGGCCCTGGAGTGCTGTGCAGGGGTGGGTTCACAGCATCAGCGGAGCCAAAGCAGTGTTAAGCAATACTTTACTGCTCCCCGTCCTCTGCCACCTGCATCGGTGACGGAGCAGCACAAAGAGAGTCCAGCGCAGGGCTACGAGGATGAGGAGGGGACTGGAGCATCTCACCTATGAGGAGAGGCTGAGGGAGCTGGGCTTGTTCAGCCTGGAGAAGAGAAGGCTGCGAGGGGACCTTAGAAATGCCTCTAAATATCTGCAGGGTGGG